AAAGAGCAGTATGGGTTTATGAAGGATAGAGGGACAGTGGAAGTAAAGAAAAAAAATATATATATGCCGACTACGACCGAGAGGGTTCGACCGAGTAAGTGTGTGTGTGTGTGTGTGTGTGTGTGTGTGTGTGTGTGTGTGTGTGTGTGTGTGTGTGTGTGTGTGTGTGTGTGTGTGTGTGTGTACCATCAACATGTGCCGGACAGGTCGTTCGGCCGATCCACCGTGGCACTTCTGCAAAACTTCCTTCAACTCTGCCCTCCTCTTCCTGTATTATCAGCCCGGCGGAGGTCAACTCTGTTATATCTTTTCTATTTCAGTGCGCTATATCTCAGACCTTTTGCGTTTAGTAATATCAAAGAGCAGAATTATTTTTCCAGTTTCATTTATAATCTGCTTTATATTATCATTTACAAGCGTGTGTGCTACTTATACATTATGTGTTTATTTTCACCTTAATCCTCACTGAATTGTTAATTAATGTATTTATTCTATTTTGGCCCACGAAACTCGTCTGAGATATTTTCCTGGAACTTCTACAATAAAATAATAAAATATCGGTATAACGAATCCTCTAGTTATCACAAAAATAAATTATGCAATTCAACAAAAATGTCAAAAAAGGGATTTATAGCTGATACAAAGTTTAAAACTGAAGAATGCAGAACAGCATAAACTGATGAAGGAAAGTAACAAAATCCTCTTTATCATTCTGATTCCACTTAACAGAGGACAAGGAATGGAAGTCTAAATAATCATAGATATTCAGACTTTGTAATTACTATGGATGTCAAAGCACTTTACGTAAAGCCAGGCAGTTGATTCTGGTTGAGGGTGACGAGGTGGTTTGGGTGGCGAAGATAATGGCGGTTAATAGAACAGCCTTGCGATTATTTTTATGATAACGTATAAGATATGTGTGTGTGTGCTTGTCTTCAGATAAGTTTTTTTGTGGTGGACCAGGAAAAGTAGATGAAATCCATTCTTTTGGCGTAATAGTACCTATGAGTTTTGGAGAATTGTTATTACTTAGTTTATTAACAGGATAATTTCTAAGACGATAAATGTTTTCCTTTTTTATTCATTTAATTTCGTACAGCCATATTTCAACAAAGAAGAAGTCTATTCAAAGACCTGATTGAAATGAATTTAAAATGCCAGGGAAAGTTATATCATTACCTACTACGGTTAACAAAACAAAGGCCATATTTCACAACCATTACGGATTTTCCTGAGAGGTCGTGAGGCTGTCGAGTAGACCGGACCCTGGAGCAAGGGCTGTACAAGACCTTATTGCTATCTATCGGCCCTTAGACCTTGGGGAACCAGACCTCATTGCGGCGCCACCAGTACTTCAGCGGCGCGTCGTAGCCAGCCCTGGGGGGGAGGAAAGCGGGTGTCAAGAACTGGGATTTATGTGACAATCGAAACAACCAATTGTTTGTTTCCACTCTCCGACCTTGCAATTACTCTCTGCCAATCCAAAAAGGCATTTGTTTAAAAGCTGCAATTAATTATAAAAACTCACACTTTATTGCAACTGCTTAATAGTTGATCAGATTTTACAGACTACGCAGTAACAAGACCATAATTCAAGTAAAGATATCACAGGAGTTAGTCAATATCGCTGGCTCGGCTTCCTGGCGTCGGGATAATGACATCCACGCGGACTTTCTCCGAGGCTGGCGAGGGGTCGGCTTCGGAGGGTTTCAAAGAGATTTTAAAATAAAGGTGCGATAAAATGGAGTTGAAAGAGGCTATAATGATGTATAGAATATTAAACTGTATGTCTTTTACCTAGTATCACCATTACCTAGTGTTGCGTTATATATACACTTTAGATACCCTTTCCATGTTATTTATTTAGAAGTGTAAGGCGTGTAGAATGGAACAGGAGAAAAAATATAAATATATATTTGTATGAAGGAGAAGGGACAGGGGGGGGGGGGTGACACCTAGCAAAAAACTATGTATATATATATATATATATATATATATATATATATATATATATATATATATATATATATATATATATATATATATATATCAACGAGCCGCACGAGGGGAGAGTATTTCTGATTCCAGGGTTGCAAGCGGTCGTGGGTGGTGAGTCATGATCCATGCAAGTGCTACTTCTAATATTTTTCTCTCTCTTGTTTGTCCATTACTTCGAAACATGCAAGGCTGGGGACGGGTCACACAACGACAGCATTACCACGCACCAAGTGGTTATATAATGTCAATAATGCTACGTGTGGGAGTGTCCTTGTCAATGACCTGGAGAGGATCCTGAACAAAGGTCAGTGAGGATATCGTGTTTCTGTGACACCTTTGAAGACGAGAGCACAGTACTCATGCCCAGGACAACTCGAACGAACCAACCGGAGAGACTTACCAGAACATATGGACGAGCGAGACTTTTATCCCGTCATCCTCCACGAGTTCGGACAAGTTCGCGGCTTCGGACAGCCAGTCACTGGTGGTGACCATGTATCCTCCCACAGTCCTGCGAATAAGAGCAGTTTTAACAATTCCATCAAGTCGCCTACACAACTAAGACGAAATTAGAACACTTAAGAAAAGTTTAAAACTTAGGGAGAGTTTAAAATGCACCAAATAAAACCATGCAATGGGTTTCACTGTCTCATCGTTAGGAACCAGTCACTGATTAACATATATCCGGTGTAATTACCTAGCTGCCTGATAATATAAGAAATTAAATGGCAATACATTATTATCAGGATCATATCAGAGTTAAAGAAAAAAATGTGTCCCTCCAAAAAAAAATAAAAAAAATAAAAATCTACTGGGATCAATGATATCAAAATGAGCTCTAACATACGACAGAACAGTTTTTTTTTTAAGGGAAATATTTTTTTGTATACACCTTAAATGTCCGGAGAAAACACATAAATAAAGACACATCTCCTACCTAGTGAAAACGGTCATCTCAGGGCGAAGATCGATCACGATCTTGGCGTTGGTGGGCGTGGGCGGGTTTTCCTGCATCTGTTCGGGGACGAAGAAGCACATCTTGTAGCTGTCCTGCTCGCGATTTGCGGTGAACTCCGTGGTCACCGGCACGGTCATGGGGATCTTGACCTCTGCGGGAAACACGTTTTTTAAGACACCGAACTCATGGACACGATGTCAGAGTGGCAAAAATTGCCATGGTAGTATTATTTTAAGTTTAAGATGAGTGGGCTCAGTTGGGTCATGAAACGGATTATAAATAAGTATTATGTTTGTTTCCGTTTTTTAGGAGAGAAAGAGACGTGACTTAATCCTTCATGAATACACCACCAAAGTCTTTTTCTCATCACTGACTTGATTTCAGTCGGAACCGAGAAGAACACGATCCACTAAATCCTTGTTTAACTAAGAGATGTATTAGAAATTCCTTATTTATTCATACAGAAGTACTAATAATGAGGCTTTAGAAACTATCTCTCGAACAATGTTTCAAAATTTAAAATACAGTACTAGGATTTTCTATATGGGAGAAAGAGAAAATCATAAACGGAGTTCTGTATGTAAGAAGGAGGAAACCATTAACGGAGTTCTGTATGTAAGAAGGAGGAAATCATTAACGGAGTTCTGTATGTAAGAAGGAGGAAACCATTAACGGAGTTTTGTATGTAAGAAGGAGGAAATCATTAACGTATTTCAATAAGCGAGAAGGAAAATGCAGTAAGTCTCACCCGCCAGGTTCTCGCCGTCGATGTAGCGGAACAGACGCCAGAAAAGCTGTTCCATGACCCTTGTTCCATCTTCGGACATCTCCTCCGAACAAACCCACTTCTTGGCGGGGTACGTTCGCTCCTCGTAGCCCTGAGGGAAGGAAGTCTTATCAGCGAAATTTACTTTAAAATTAAAACAGGAAAGATTATGCAATCCTGCGCTAGATATTGTATCTTTCCACCCGTTTAAGAAGAGGAAACCCTGGGGAGGTACTCACGGTGTGCTTAGCATCGACTGTGTACGGAGCTTCCTCGTAGGAGTGGAACAGCCCGCCCACCTGGCTGATGATCTCGTCCACCTGCGATGGATAACAAAATCACGATGGTATAGATGGAAATTATATCAGTTTTCAACATCATCGAGAATCCCGGCATATATATTTCTTCTGTGATAAATAAGACGCGTTAAGGAATACCTACCCAGCCAGCATTCGTAGCGGAGACCAGCAGAAGAAGCGAGCAAACACACAGGCAGCGCATCCTGCAGTGCAAATGATAGGAGATATGAATCACTTGTTTGTCTGAGTCGACATTAGTCGGCACAGGCTCTGTTCCCCTCATAGCCCGGGCATATCTGACTTCTCCTTAATTACTTGTTTAACACCAAAGGCATAAAGCTGAGATACATTTGGAATTGCAACATGGGATAATACCTGTGAATATATACAGTATATGTGTCTGTAAGTTTAATTATAATAGTCTATAATACTATGTTAAATAAAAATTATATAATAACAATGATACTGCTTATAGTAGCTCTCAAAATATCCTAACGCATGACTTGCGGGTTTGCAATATATAGTTCCACCACCACATGCAAACATTACTCAAAAGAATAAAAAGAATAAAAAAAAGCTGGCTAATTCTGTTTATCCGAGTTATCAACTTTAATTCCCTACATTAACACTGCAATAAATCTCAAAGATATACAAATTCAGTAACTTAAAAGCTCAGATCGAAAAAAAAACACACGAACGACTATTTTTCCCTCCGTTTCTATTTTCGTTACTGCATGCCACACAACGTATTATTCTGGCCCTCAATAACGTTCTGAATCACGCACACGAGAGCTCAAAATGACATCGTGAACGCAACTCCAAGTGAAAATGACAACTGCTAAAAGAAAAAAAAAACGGTTATAAGTATCTACTTAAATCACATCACCAATCGATCAAATTCCCCCACAGCACTTTACACTTCAATTCAGAGTATTTCTAAATGTCAAGAAACCCACTTGGCGAGTGACGTTGACGTTTC